AGCAGAGGCGGAGGAGAGCCAACAGTGCGCTCGCCCAGCGGAGGTTTCACATGGAAGAGAAGAAGCAAGAGAAGTGAGTATGCGGTGTGGCTGGTCAGAAATGGGGTAATTCCCTTCTCCTCTGGTAGTCAGAGCCAATTAATGGGAAACACATGGCATGAAACTCCCTTTTTCCACTGCGTAATGGAGCTGTTATCATGAGATAAGAAGTTGGACATTTTACATCATTTGATAATCAGTTTGAATTGCCACCGAAAGAATGGGGATTTATGGGTTTCCTTTCCTCCTGAATCCTCGTGCTATCTCAGATCCATTGTTATTGCTGGTAATCATGGGATGAGGGAAGAAACAGCAGCTTGGATCCAATGTCCACTTCGGGGCAGATTGAGTGTCTCTTTTCCTCAGCCCTGCTGTGTTTTGTGGAGTTTGGAACTGCAGAACCTCAGTGGTTCTGGAAATGCCAGAATTATCCCCATGCAGGAGCAAACAGCATCTGTTCCCATGTCTGACTCCCAGACCATGCCAGGATGTCTCTGCTGCCCTGGTGGCACTGGGCTGGCATGCCACACAGTGGTTTTGGGCAGTAATGCACATTCTGAGGCATATTGGCTGAAAGGTGAAAGAAAAGTCTCCCATGATCCTGATATTCCTCAGGGGTCTCTGCAGCTCCACATCTTGGCTGCCTCTGAAGGAAAGTATAACTTTTTCATTTTGTTTATGTTAATAAACAGCAGAATTCTGATGGTTTCCTTTATAGCAAAATCACTCTGGTGTCAAGAGCTGACTGGGAAAGTACTGCAGAGTCCCATGGAGCTGCTCTTGCATGTCCAGAGGCACCAAAACTACCCCAAGCTGAAACAGCCTCTTCCAAGACCAAAAAATGTCCCAAATTTCCTGATTTTATTGTGGCAAGAGTTTGGAGAGAACAAAGCCCAAGATCTCCAATATGTGCTTAAAAAATCTGGAAGACTGCTTTGCTTTTCTTCTGTTTCAGTGCAGATTTTGGGAATTAATAAAGGTTGAAAGAGTCTCCCTGATTAAGTCTTGTAGAGACTGCACCGGCTGAGACATGGTGTGAATCTCTGCAGGGATTCCTTCCAGGATTTCTATGTTTGGATAAAATCAGGTGCACAGTTGGTGTTGAGCTGGTTCTCAGTGACTTTTCCAAGGTGTCCAAAATGTGGGGCAGCAGCATTTGGCACTCATGAGGGGACATTTGTCCAGGTGCTGGGACATTAACACACCTCTCTCCTGCAGTGAACCCCGGATAGTGAGCCGGATATTTCAGTGTTGTGCCTGGAATGGAGGTGTCTTCTGGGTATGTAAAAATTTTTCTTGTTTATTATGGTTTTTATTTTAAAAAACCTGTGAAAACCCATGTCCTGCTCCAGCCCTCATAGGCTGTGAGTGGTGAGGTATCAGCGTGGCAGCAGGAATTGCTGGGAGTTTTCTACTTTCCCATCCCAGTGCTGTATTTTAAGGGATTCACTATGGGATACAGGACCACAGACTTACTCGAGAGACCCACACATGAAATCCAAGCTGCTTTTCCAAGTCTTTGAGACTGCTCTCCCCCTGAATATTTAAATGAGTATTCCTGCTTTGCTGCAGCCTGGCATACTGTTTTGCCAATTGGATATTGAATTCTTAAAAGACATTTCCTCAGCTCTGACTTGCTATGCCTGGTTCATAAGGCTGATTCTTAATGGAGCCAACACTTCATAAATCAAACAACCAGATAAATAGTTTCATTTTCTCATTACAGTGGTGCAGTTTACAAGGGATTGGCTCAGTGTTAGCTGCAAGTTGTGGCTGTATTTAAACAGAAATCCTTGTTCCTCTGTATTTCTGGATTACTCAGGGAGAAGAGGCAGATGTGCCTTTGGATCTGTAGCCACAGGAGCAGAAAATACCCCTGCAATGCCTCACTGAGAGCCCTTGTTTGTTTTTCCCTGCAGCTTAGTCTCTTCTTGTTCTACCGAGTGTTCATCCCCGTCCTTCAGTCGGTCACGGCGCAGATCATCGGTGGGTGCCTTTCCCCTTGGGGTGTTCCAGGGTGCTCAGCAGTCCATGGGATGAGTTTGGAGTCTTTGTCCACTGAACTGATCCTCACACCTCTGTCCCCTTGTGTTGTTTTCCACTTCTTCCCAGTACCAACCAATCCCATCATTAATCATCCAGTAGGAAACCAGGGGTGGATCACCCTGCTGACAGCCTGTGCACATCAGGGATCCAGCCCAGGGGTCTTGCCATTTCAAACACATTTGTCTGTGTGTTTTTGCATTTAAGTAAAAATCAAG